TTTAATTTTGTTTTGTTTGTCGTTTCTATAATAATAATTTTCAGAAATTTGTTTTTTTGATTAGTAATGGACAAACAACGTGACGACAATCTCTTTATTGCGAGATTCACTGTCGTCAATAAAATAGATGTATGTAATATTCATTAAAATATTAAGGAAGGAAATCACAACAATTTGAATAAGGGATTCCGTGGTATTGGAGAATGTATCGTACGTTCGTGCTGATCAATACCGGCAATTGCCTTTACATTCCGTGGAACATGTTGGTTGTTTTCATCAAAGGCTTAACGGAAACGAGATAAAAAAGAGTCTGTACAAACTATTTATTTGCACCTGTGGCCTGCAACAGAATGCTGCTCAGCTATTGAGCGATTTTATTGATAAATCAGCTCACCTAGATTTGATCGGAAGAAACCATAGAAACGAGCGATTTTCAAAAATGTAGCTTCATTAAGCGCATGTTTTATTTTGCGAGTGGTAATGCCGGAGGGGTATGGGTAGAGAAGGGAGAGTAGAGCCGGGAATGCATATTTTTTTAGCAGTACTAAAAAATTAATTCTGTAGTTCGTTTACCGATGCAAATAAATGTTCTATAATTCGGGAGCGAAAATATCTAGTTTTAAAAGGTTGCGTACCTCCCTTTGTAGGTATTTTTATTCATCATTGCACGATTTATGGAAAAAAGTGGGGAAGAGATTTTGAAGCTCAAGAAAACCTGCGCATATTACTTCCCCTCTATACGCACTTGCAGTTTTGATTGTTATTTAACAATATATATCAAACACCAAGCGTCTCTTGCATTCCATTCCAGGCAGTAGGAGGCCTCGGCCCAAATACGTAGCAGAGTTCGGTATCTGATTTGGTTTCATTTGATTTACTTTCATCAAAGAACAGTAAAAACTGAATGTGACGTGTTGGGAGATGTGTAATCTGCGCAAGTTTTCTTGAGGTTCAGAATGGTCCCACCCTCATACATACTCTACATACAACAGTAGTATGATGAATAACAGTACCAAAAAAACCAGCTAGCAACATTTGAATAAATAGACATTTTCGAACCGGAGCTACAGACAACTTATTTGCACCCGTAAACTAACTTCAGATTTGATTTTTGAGTATTGCTAACAAAATAGTAATCCGCACCACTCGCTCTTTTCCTACAAAAGAGCATCACAAGGCGTGCGCATAGTGGAGGTACATTTTTTGTCCAGAAGCAAAACAAGGAGCCGTCTCAGCATTTGTTCAATGAATCAGGGAAACAGAAGAGACCCAGAAGTTGACTGATCCAGAAGAAGTACATTTCTTGTTAGAGGCATATTTAAACTCTCTAAAATTATATAGTACAAATGTTAAGTAATGCATTATATATCATTTTCAAAACAAATATTATTTTTAATTTTGATGGTCGATGTAATCTCCAAATGTGTGTAAAGAGTTACGGAACAGAAAATATTGTATTTGACACTTACATTTGTGTATCGATTTTCATTAATTAATGTCATCTGTCAATGTGTTGTTAACTAACGTACGTGTATTTTATGTGTCTATTTCATCAGTCACCGTCAAGACTCGCTAAGAGTACGAAGATTGATATGCGAATTCGAAAGCAAACGCTGTTACATCCGATAACAAAACAATTAAATGCACTCGTTTTTTATTTTCCCAAAGATGTTGGTGAAATAGAGAAATTAATGAGATATGTCGACGTGTGTGTATATTATACTTTAGAGAAAAATATGCATTTTTCAATCATTTACGAGCAATATAGCGCATTTTGGTGCTTCAAAAATAGTTTTATGCCTATTCATACTATGTCATTAATGTTTCGAATTAGTGCTCATATATCATGACAGTATAATATAAAGTTTGATATAAAAAATTAGTGTGTAGAAACTTTTCTTCTTTAAAGAAAGTTTTATATTATCACTGAGAAAGCATTCAGGTATTTATAATTTACAGTTGAGGATGGTCAATATTTGCAAGATATAATAGATACATGATCTTGCTTATAGCGGGCAAGAGCATCGGGTTACTCGATGGCTCCAAAAGCTATTTTAATTTGAAGAACCTTAACGGTACTACGTCCGAACAAATGACTTCTCACTGGAGAAACTCTCTAAGCTCAGGCGTTACGTAATCACATCGGGGGTTATATTTTTACAGCAGAAGAACGGATGGAGGTTTATAGAGCAGTGGTAAGCTAGCGGTAAAGCGCCGGTCATCTGGAGTCTTGGATCCGGGGTTCATATCCAACCGGTCCGGTCGATGTATTTCCCGGTTTTCCTGCGTGCCACCTCCCAAGGCTGAGAAAGAGGAGCGGGGGAGGAAGGGGAAGTTGGGGGAGGTGGTGGGGGAAATGAGGGAAGGGGAGGCGGCGCCAGCTGCTCAGGTCCGGTCGCAGAGGAGCCCGGGCGGGTGACCACGAGGACTGTGACGAAATTCACATTCATTAACTTACTAGGTTATGTTAGGTTAGGTTGGAGACAATATCGTCAGATACCCCCGTGTCGTGTTCACTGAATACTTCTTTTCAGAATAATGTGCGAGTGTTATTTTTAACTAAGTTTCGTTTTTAATAAGAATAAAAATATTGTAAATATCATTTAAATATTTTTCCACATTCTACATACATGACTGGGAATTCATTGCTGTTCATTGTCAGAACAATTATTTTTCATGTACGTCCACGGAACGACTATTCGGGAGTACACTGACTTGTACTTGTTCTGACCTGAACAAAAAACGAGAAGCATTGTTTCAGGAAATAAAGTGAACAGTGAAAATAAGTATAAGAAGGCAATAGGGAGATAATTAAGAATTAAGAACTCTAAGTGACATAGGTCCGTTTACCCACTTGCCGTTATGCAGCTTGAATGGCTTTCGAATAATTTCAGCTGCCTACTAATCATTTGCCATTTTTGTGAACTGCAAAGGCTATGTAAAAGTATTACAGCTACAATTGCATTAAAGTACAGTGAAAATTAATCCATTTGGGCTTAAGTTGCGGAATTTTATAGTTCCTTGTTAAATGTGTATGACCTTTAGACAGATTACTAGACGTTGAGACAACTTCCTCCTTTTCATGTCGTGTTTCACTTATCGGGCACCACTATGGCAATGATGCTAATCGGTGTAAATCGTCTTCAAGTATTGGCCCTAGTAGCCTCTATTCTATGTATGGACCTTACTGCAAATAATGCGCATTAAAGAAAACCGTATTTTTAGATTGGAAGATGATAAATAGGTTTTCTTCGTTATTATGAAACTTCCTTGTGAATGCTCTAGTACTTTGTGTGTTCTATGTAGAGCCTTCCTTGTAAAGTAGCTACAAGGAAAAATGTTTCCATTATTCACAGTTGGTCGATACGATTAGATTCATTGTGGTCTTAACATGTGTTCTTTGAAGTTCAGAAAATGGTATGTAGTCATTAAATCTGGGAATTCGGAGGGCGCTGCAACTATTCGAAAGTCCCAAACCTCAGGAAAACCTCAGCATTCATCGCAAAGCGGGTTAGGAGAACGTCCTGCTCGAAAAATCGCATGCTGAAAATCACAGTGCAAAAACTGTTAGCGGCGTGTTTTTGCCAGTGGTCAATTGCCTTACTCTCTAAATGTCGGTGGCCTACCGTGAGATAAAACGCGAACGCAATAATATCGGCTCCATTTATAATCTTTGTACTTTGATAAATAGTACCGAAGAGATATAATCGTTTGATTAACCTGAAAACGCGGTGACCTCAGAGTAGAGAAAGCCGATCGTGATGGATGTGAGGACAAGTGGCCTCATTACGCAGATGACTGAGACCATAGTATCGCGTGACGGATCGAAGGGTAGTGATGCGTAGAGAAGAAAGGAACATTCACCGCGTAACGGCAACGGATTTTGCTGTGAGAGTTTCGATGTAACAGTTTAGTTCACGCCTGGGAAATCTGCAACGACATTGATCGCATGTGCTAAATGTATAACTTGAGCACATTATATTCCTATCACTTGAGCACAAGAAAAGTGTACCAATTCAAATTCTTGTTTTAAAGGAGAATGGTTTACATCTGAACGGAACCGTTAAGTTCCCAGCCAAGGGCAAAGTAGTTTACTTTTTTATGACTTAACCATTTAACAAGTCAAAAAGAAACGGTTAACATGTTTTTCTTTTCGATGTGTTAAATGGTTGTTAAATGATAAAGAAATTAGTATCAAACAGCCGTAAATTATGAAGTGTTAAACAATTTTACTTTATATTGGCTTTGTGAACTACCATTCTGAAAATTGCCCCAGTAAAAATAGACTAATTTGTAAACATATTTCTTCATTTTATTACAAAATTTGGTATTTGAGGTGTAGTTTTTCCTGTTTACCGACTATAGTATACAAAATGAGTTACATATATTTAACACATATTCTGTTAAAAAGTGCAGTGCAGTGTAAGCAGACGTGAAAACTTCAAGAGGTCACGGGCTGTCCTTATTGTGTTCATTTTTGTCATTTTTACTTTCGAAAATTCTGATATTAACTTTGCTTGTCAACTCTAGAACGCTCGTCCTTTACCACAAGAAAGTCCAAAAAAGTATTTCCAAATCCAAGTTTTTAAACGATATCTTGAAGATACTGTATGGTAAAAGGCTACAAAGCAGCTAGTTCAATAATAGTTATCTATGACGGAAATTAGGAAATATGTTTTCAGTAATTTTGATTTTGTTTTTCAAGTTTTTTATCAAAATATTTTGGTTTGTTCTTATCTCCATCAAACCAGGCAAAGGTACCATTCTCCGTCCATAAAATATCTAAGGGGCCGACGAGAGCTTATTTTCAATAATATTTATTTATTTAATATGAAAAATCACTTTAAATTGTGTATGTTATACGGGATGGGATACAATCAGTGCACGTTTTCTTGAGATACAGAGTACGAATGCGTTTCCTCAAAGGGGATCAGAGACTTCATAAAAACTGAAAATATTTGTGCCGTAACGGACGACACGCAAGATACTAATATACGTACTTGAAAACATCTGGGCTGTGGTATCAATAGAATGAGATGCTTCCCATGACACCATATACTCATAGGAAAGATAATGAACAAATGATTTCACGCCGAGAATTGTAATTGCGAATTTATGATAGAGATGTTTGGATGACTTACTTTCTAAGTACTTGGTAGCCTAGTGTCATATACATGGACAAAAGTGTGATTAATGTCTTCGTTTAAGAGCTCTTATACCCTTGAAAACACGATAGTACATACCGGACTGGGGGATATATTAAATGAAATTATTCATTACATGTTCGTCAAGATGTAGTTTAAAAAATAATAAAAGATTTGAAAAAATATTTGAAAAGATTTAAAAGTGATACTGATTGATTGATTGGAGATTTTGATTTCATCCTATTAAACTATATGTAGGGTTGACGTCAAGACCGTTTCGTAATTCGCATAATGTTTCATTTCCAGCAAGGACGCGAGCTTTTATATTGTATTAAATATGTGTTATTCAATTGATTTTGTTAGATATTTTTGGATATAAATTACGAAGTCTATTATTCTCAACGACAACGACCTTCTAAACAACGTGTTGTTGAACTTTTCAACACTCTATAAACCTCCACAGTGAGATTGGAGGGGCAGGTAAAATAGCTGCGCTTGCTACCGTCTTCTCCGACACAACTCGGCAGTCGTCCGAGCATTTTCAATGCGATAAGAAGGGAGCAGGATGCTTTTCAGTGTGCTGAAGTGAATTGCGCTATTACGATAAACATGTTATTTTGTTCTGCGGGATGAATTATTTAATGCAGTGTTGTTAAAAATTAAGTGTGAATGATATATTGTAGTATCTACGAGAGTTAAAATGGTGAAGAAGGCGGTGTGTCAGATGGAGAGAGGTTTTTTCAATGTGCATTGCGAAGTAAGTGACAGTTTTTCATTCAACAATTTCTAAGCAGCCGATCCGGTGGCCGAGATCGCTAAGGCAGTAGTGCCGTTGCGAACTCGGACCGAAGGGTCGCTGGTTCGAGTCCCGCCTCGGGCATGGTTGTATTGTGTTTCGTCCTTTCACCCCGTATCATAATCATTATCGTGTCAACCCACTGTTACCATACCGTTACAAGCAATAGTGGTCGCTAATGACCTAGTAGTTAATGCGACCTTAAATTTAAAAAAAACTCTAAGTAGTATGTTTGTTAATTTTACTTGATGTAAATAATTATACTTGTACCCCACCATTCAAATTTTCTCCAACGTAGTTGTTTGAACTTCTTTTTTCATTGTAAGAATACATTTGAATAAATAATTTTAGGAAATGAGTTTTAAATTTCAGATTTTATAATTGGCGATTCTTTGGAAAAAATGTATATTTTATCAAGAGTCTTGCGATCACGTGATTTTGGTATATCTATCTACATTTTATTAAAATAAAACTTGGCTTTAATATTTCATAATATAATCCACTAGGTACAGAAAATGTATCAACTAGGCCAGAAATTGGTTTGCAATTGACATTTTCAATTACGCAAATGAATAGTGACTTGACCGATTGCTTGTCAATTAACGTAATGCCATTTTAATAAAAAACCATAGCAATTAGAGAGTAAAACTGTGTGTAGCAGGAATTGGTTTTCTTGTTAGGCTAGATTTGTGTAAAATGTTACGGTAATGATAAGAACGTGTTTTCTTAAACGTTGCTTTCTGTAGAGCCGGTATGTACAACATTTTGCATTCACGTAAGCCAACACCCAAACAGAAATTTTTCACTTTTTTATACTTGCTGGGTGCTAAAAAATATTTCATGAAAGACCAACATAGGTTCGAGAGGAAAACGAGACAGTATCAAAACCCACGATGTTTATATTAACAAAACCCTATCGATAGCCCGAGGTAGTTTGCCACGTGTTTCTCAAGGTAACATATTTGCTCCTATTCCTTTTCACGAAGGCAAACATCGTACAGGCACGCCATTAACACGCAAAGTCACGCGATTATCTTTTTCATCGCGTTAACGCGAGGTGGCTGCGGCTAGACAAAGGCCTCTCTCCTTCTGCAGCGCTCATCTCGAGCCAGGACGCACGCGCCGGGGCCACGTCGGGGCGGAAAGCCGGGCACGCATAAAAGTGAAACAGGTCTTCCACGAACAATCAATTAGTATGCGCAGCCCCACTTGGCGGCTGGCGGCGCCGTTAGAAGCCCCACTTGACTGACGGTCGAGCCGCCGCTAATGGCACCCCCGGCACCCCTCCGACGTGGACGCTGGCGCCACCGCCACCGCCACCGCCATCGCCGTATCGGCGGCCTTCACCCGCACCTTGCCTCGTGCTCGCCCTTCCACAGGTGGGCCGGCCTCAGAGGCACCGAGAGGGCCGATGCTGATTGGGCGCGTCTGACCCGAGAGGTCCTAGAGATACGGGCGTTTCGACGGTGGCGGATTTGCGATATTATACCTTGATTAAAACATTCCGTTGACACTTAGTCAGCTCTGACTGTCATCTAATCGGGAGCTTAAACGTCACCGCAGTGACGGAACTGTAATGACGTTAAAGTCCCCGTGTGTGTCAATGGAATGTTTTAATTGAAGTATAGCTCATGGTGTTAACGGAATGTTTTAATCGAAGTATAGCTAGAATTCTACGTCGAATTCAGTCGCGGTCTGGAGGAGAATTCTAGCGACTGGCTTCTCTGATCTGTAAATTTCCGTGGAATTTCTCCAATACATTCCAGGTGAATGCCGGAACACTACCCTCATAAACACAGGAGATGGCGAGGGACTGCGCTAAATATTTCCTTGCTCATCCTTGCCACCTCTCCCCTTAAACATTGGCTTACACTGACACGCAGTACACTGCCACACACGAATACGTACTCGTATTTGATCAGTTCGGGGCTTACAGCTTGAGCTAGCTGGAGCAGTGTTCCATTGGGGAGCTGGAGGAGGGGAACTGACGTGTATGTTGGCGTCGGATCTCACGTTTCAGCTATGAAGGAACGTCGCCGCCTCCCGAGAAATAACATGCACTTCACTACACGGCACTTATGATTACAGCAGTAAACGCGCTCGGATATCAATCAATGAATCAAACAATCGGTGGCGCAGAGGGCTCGTGCCGCGTTGTTAAAGTACGCGGAGCGGGTGATGGTGAGCATGGTGTAGTGACCACTCCGCTCACTACTGCGTCTGGTTATCGGGGTTCGAATACCGCTCCATCGATGTGGGCTCTCTGGTGGTTAACGCGAGTATTCTGCACGTTTTACTGAGGATTCTCGCGTTTGCTCTTCCTCTCATTACACCATTGCTCCGTTGTTTGATTGATGCTGCTGAGCACGTCAACTACTATGGTCATTAGACCCGTTAGTGTAGTGAACGTTTCATCGCAGGAGGTGGCGGTGTACCTCACTCGTTGGATGATGAGATCCGCTGCTGACCAACTCGTGCTGACCAACTTGTGACGAATTTCCAACTCCAAATATATACGCCAGTGGGGCACCGCCCCAGCCAGGACAAGCCCGAGCCAAGGAGAGGGTACCAGATGGAAGAGGAAGGAAATTTTGCACGCGATTCGTGGCCCGTTTGTCTGGGTATTGCTCCTCTATTCGCATGGTATTGGTCGGAGAAATCACGGAAAACTACGATCAGAGCAGCCGGCCGCCATTACTCTACACAAGGCAGCGCGCAGTGGCTCAAGCCTACCTATTTAGCTAGTGCCGAAAAACATCCACCATCGGGATTTTTGAACTTTAGGACACGTAGTCGTGCGTTCGGAGGGTGCCAGGGGGCCCTACCCCCTTGAAAATTTCACGAGGAGTCCCGTTGCCCTACGTAACACAATACTATTTTCGTAAATATTGTCAGTTAATGATTTCCACCTTTTTTAAGCTGACGGGTTGGGGAACACAACTCAAACTGGAGTTACCTATCTCCTCTTGCTTTTCCCTACTTATGCCTATTTGCTACAACTTCCCGGTCAGTCTCTGCAAAGACAGCAGCACAGCTGGCTCTGAGCTAAACAGACCACCGATTTCTCCATCCTCATTGCAATACTATCATTACCCATCCATCAAAGTATCATTTCAGGTACGACCAAAAATGCTAGGGACTGATGATTATAACAAAATTATGCGAAGCCGAAGGTTACTGTTTCGAGTCGTAAGATATGGCAATTTTCACTATATGGTTGTGGTGCGATTAGCTTCTCGTACCATTCATTTCAACATCATCCCATAGTTCAAAATAATATCATACCTCCCAATATTGTTGGATACTACATTAAAGTGAAACATTTTATTTCTATATACCTTACAATTTACACATTTTCCTTGGGTAGTTATTTTGTTTATTCTCATTGCAATAATTGAAGCCTATTTATTTAACTTCTAATCTATTTTTTGTTTTGTAATGACCAGTACATCTACAATAGTGACGAGAAAGGCAGTGGTATTACTTTTTGTTGAAGAACTTCAAAATATCTCGTTAATTTTGAGACGAGAACTGGCTTATAAGATTAACCGCACAACAACCCGGTCATTTAAGTTTTTTTTCCTGTCCGGAAGCTCTTATATAAGTCAGCTGGTTTTAGAAATGCTTGCGGTAACCTGTAATAGAGCGAGTAACAAACCAAAAAGTATTGTAACTGCTTGAGTGACTCCCCATATGATGTTGCGCGGTACGAACGAATAAATGAAAAGTAAATCACAATCTATAAAAACTAGACACTTCACAACTTGTATGACTACTTTTCCTGTTTATGGAACGATTCCTCTTAAGTAAAAACTTAACACGAAATATTAGATGACGGATACATTACGTGAAAGGCAAAATACACGTCATCTCACGTCATTAAATATTATTAAATAATTCAAATAATTCAGTATTTCATCGTTGAATGGAAACAGCGTCCTGTGTCGACATTTGGTATATATACACTAAGGTGATGAAAAAGAAAATAATGATAATGGTCATGATAATGATTAAGTATGCGTCACGTGTTTCGCGGCGCGTCGACGACGACGAAGAAGTCAACGACGACGATGAAGTCGACGACGACGATAATTATTAATTTTATTCTATCAGCT